GTGGCGCTGCTGCTGCTGCTGAGGACCCGGGCGTTGGAGCTACTACTGGTGCTGAGGACCCGGCCGGTGGAGCTGCTGCTGGTGCTGTGGACCCGGCCGCTGGAGTCTCCTCTGCTTCTGCAGACGCTGCGCGGCCGCGACCGTACTTCGTACCGCTCCTTCAGCAGGTTCTTGGGCAGGCTCCTCCTCCTTGTCCTCCTCCCTCCGTAGAGTGTCCTCTGCCTGTCCAGTCGCAGTCACAGTTACCGCCTACCTCGCCTCTCCCTGCTCCCTCTCCTTACACTGGTCCCACAGGAGGTCTTACAGAGCGTCGTGAGCCTGAGTCTCGTCCTGCGTCGCCTGTTCGTCCTGCTCGCACTGGTAGTCGTGTCCGTCGTGAGCGTCCTCCTCCTGTCCCAGGCACTCACTACATGACTCTGCGTCCCTCTACTGCTCCTCAGCGTGTCCCTCTACCGTCTCCTCCCGCGTCTTCTTTGCCTCACGTTCCGGACCCTGAGTCTGACCGGTACCGTGCTGAGCACCCTACTGTCACGCGTCTCCTCGCTACTGTTGTCACTGACCCTACCTTTGAGTCCTCGACTGCGTCTGCTCTGGTCGCTGAGTTGGTTGACTTTGCTGCTGCCTGTCGTCTAGACTACGCTGCTAGCCTTGTTGCTGAGTCTGAGTCTGAGTCTGTCTGTCCTCCGTCCGTCGGGGGTGAGTGTGCTCTTGGCACGGACGTCCTTGAGGACAGACAGGAGGAGTTCCAGTGTCTTGCTGCTGCTTTGCCCCGTCTCGTGTCCTTGCTAGTTGCCCCTGAGGGAGACCCGGATGCACCAGACATCCCGACCCCACGCACTTACGCTGAGGCGATGGCGGGTCCCTACTCCTCTCAGTGGCAGACGGCCATGGACGCCGAGATGGCTTCCTGGAAGTCCACACGTACCTACGTCGACGAGGTTCCCCCTCCTGGGGCGAACATCGTCAGTGGCATGTGGATTTTCAGGGTGAAGCGGCCGCCGGGTTCTCCGCCTGTCTTCAAGGCGCGTTACGTGGCTCGAGGCTTCAGTCAGCGAGAGGGAGTTGACTTCTTCCAGACCTTCTCCCCCACCCCGAAGATGACCACTCTTCGGGTGCTGCTGCACATAGCCGCTCACTGCGACTACGAGCTTCACTCACTTGACTTCAGCACTGCTTTCTTGCAGGGCAGCCTGCACGAGGAGATCTGGCTGCGCCGCCCACCTGGCTTCACTGGGTCGTTTCCTCCTGGTACCCAGTGGAGGCTTCAGCGGCCGGTCTACGGTCTCCGCCAGGCTCCGCGTGAGTGGCACGACACACTGAGGACTACACTTGCGGCTCTTGGGTTCGCGCCTTCTACAGCTGACCCGTCGCTGTTCCTGCGCACCGACACTTCGCTGCCGCCGTTCTACATCCTCGTGTACGTCGACGACTTGGTCTTTGCCACTGCTGACACTGCAGGACTCGCCTACGTGAAGTCGGAGCTGCAGAGGAGACACACGTGCACAGACCTGGGTGAGCTGACAAGCTATCTTGGCTTGCGGATCACCCGGGACAGAGCACGGCGCACCATCACCTTGACTCAGTCACACATGGTGCAGCAGGTTCTCCAGCGCTTTGGCTTCACGTACTCCTCGCCTCAGTCCACTCCTCTGCCTACCGGTCACTCGCTCTCAGCTCTGCCTTCGGATGAGTCTGTAGAGCCGAGTGGCCCGTATCCAGAGCTTGTGGGTTGCCTCATGTACCTGATGACCTGCACTCGACCTGACCTAGCATACCCTCTTAGCATCCTTGCACGCTATGTCGCTCCTGGCCGTCACAGGAAGGAGCACATGGATGCCGCTAAGAGGGTGTTGCGCTACTTGTGCAGTACGTCGGGCATGGGGCTTGTGCTTGGAGGGCGAGACCGAGTGGTTCTCACAGGGCACTCAGACGCTTCTTGGGCAGACGACCAGGCCACTCAGCGGTCGTCTCAGGGTTACACCTTCAGCCTTGGCTCTGGCTCAGTTTCTTGGCGCTCTACACGCTCTTCTTCTGTTCTCGGCTCCAGTTGCGAGGCTGAGATCTACGCTACAGCCATGGCTGCCCAGGAGCTACGCTGGCTGACCTACCTGCTGACTGACCTCGGAGAGCCGCCTCGTTCTCCTCCAGTACTGTACGTCGACAACAAGGCTGCCATTGCCTTGTGTGAGGAGCAGAGACTGGAGCACAGAACGAAGCACATCGCTCTGCGGTACTTCCTTGCTCGAGAGCTGCAGCAGCGCGGTCAGCTTTGTATTCGCTACGTGGCCACTGAGGCCAACACTGCTGATGTGTTCACCAAGGCGCTTCAGCCTCGTGACCATCAGCGCTTCTGCACTCTACTAGGCCTTGTGCCTACTGGACCTCACTTGCTTACCTCTTGACTTTGCTTGTACTGTGATCACTATATATATCTATACCTGCATGTTTACTCTTGCTAGGTTGTGATCACTGTATCTCTGGCTCTGTTATAAACCTGCATGTGAACTGGTCTTGTGACCACTAGCTTGTGCTCGGAATTTGTGTGGAATCCTCGAGATCCACCCTGAGCTTGTTGTTGCCTTGCTTTGCCTTGACTGGTCTTGTGACCCCTAGGTCTCCCCCACTTTGCCTATGGGGGTGTGTCAAACATTATATATGTTGGGTTTGTTAGGCTACAGTGGGTTAGCCTATATGGGGTACACAATTCTAGGGTTTGCTATTTGTACTGATTTCTCTGTTAGTTCAATCATTCCAGTCTCTTCTTTCTGACACCACATTTATCAAGGGAAAATCTATTCATCCGTAAGCGCTGCTAGAGTTGAGATAGAGGAATATGGCGATAAGTTCAACTTTAGGCCGTGGTATAGGGACAACAGGCCAGAACGCTTTGACGTGCGTTGCCCTTCTATGAAAGAAAAAGACTGGCCCAAGAATGATGCCAAAGCACCTGTGGGTTTTTGTCCGTTTCGGATTGTAGCTACCGGGCCACGAAATTGCTGCTTTAGTGTGAGATCTGTGACGCTGCAGCATGCACACACGTGTGTGCCACGCCCTGGTCGGATTAGGAGGGAACAGGTTAAGCAATTGGTGCGTGAAGTACATCCTCATACAGTCATTAGACCCATTGGACTACGACATATGGTGCGGGAAAAGTTAGGCGTCGATTGCTGCAATGCTACGTGTGGCCGGTCAATAGATGATGTCACTCGAGAGGATCGTCTAGGTGGAGAGTCGGGTTTCCAATACATTGGTAGCATCTGAGATGTTTTCAAGCGGAATAACCCATCAAGCGTTGTGTCATTGATGCTGGATGAGAAGAGGTTCTATCGTGCTGCAGTGATTTACCCTGGAGTCCGTGAGATAGTGAATAATTGCTTTCCGATCATATTTGTAGATGGATGTCACAACAAAGGTAAATGGCATGGCCATACCCTGAATGCATGCATGATAGATTGCGAACATAAGCTGGTGAGGTTAGGGAGTGCGTGGGTAGAAGGTGAGAGTGCGGATTCGTGTGAGTATTTTTTGAGCCAGCTGAAGGTAGCTGCCCCTGAGATCAACACTGCGAGGTTTACATTGATGCATGATCGCGGTAAAGCATGGAAAGCAGCTGCGGCCAGAGTGCTGCCAGGGGCGCGTGAGTCATTTTGGATCACACACCTGGTGAGGAATTTTAATTCAAAGTTTGGTTCCGACTGTGATGGCAAGATCGAGCTCGCGGCTGCAGCATTGACCAGAGATGTGTTGCGGGGCTACATGGACAAAATCGAGGAAGAGTGCCCTGGGGGGAAGCAATACTTGGAGAGGGATGGATTGGCCGCACATTGGGCTACCTTTCTGTTTGATGCGTCACGTTTTGGGTGCTATATTTCTAACCCGGTGGAGTCGCATCATGCCTCTATGCACAAGTGGAGGAGGGACAATCCAGCCTAAGTGTTGCTTGTATTCATAACACAGCAAGCGAATGCAATGGAAGAGGGTCGTGGGCTATATGGGACTCTCGGGGTAACTGATCTCCCCCCCAAAACAGCACCTATCATTCGTGCTAATTGTCAAATATGGACTCAGTACAAGGTGGAGAAGACTGGCAGAAGTTCATACCATGTGAGCCGTGAGAGTGGAGCCAAGGAGGAGCGTGTGGTGGTGATGGAGGCAGCGGATCCAGAGAAGGCGCAGTGCACGTGTAATTATCCGAAGTGAGTTATGTGTTTTTATTCTGATTTTTTAAGTACTTGACACCTGGTGTTATGCACCTGGTGTTAGTGTTGTCATTACATGCATTACCTTTTTGTGATCTCTGGCCTTCTCTTGATGTTTGTCACACCCATTTAATTTTCCTGTACACTTGCAGAGAGTATGGGCTGCCTTGTATGCACATGTTTGCAGTACTGCTCCACAACATCCGGCCGGCGCGTGGCAACGAGTTTGCGGATGTCCAACAGGCGGTTCAAGCCATGATCCACAGGTGTTACACATCAACCGCTTTGAAGGAGCTCTACAGCACGGAGATTCGCACTCTAGACCGCACAGAGATAGTACCAGACAAAACAGTTGAGCCACCAGTGTACCCAAAGAAGTCGGGAAGGCCACGCATCAATCGGTTGAGGTCCCATGGTGAGATTGATGGCAGGAAGCTGCGTAGATGTGGGAAGTGTGGGGAGAAAGGGCATAATAGACTGACTTGTGATTTGCGCAAACAATTGAGAGACGCATGGGAGGCACTTCACACTCCGGAAGGGCACATGAGTGTGCAAACAGCTACGCAAGCAGAGGCTCGAGTGAATGTGGCGCTGTGTAGTGCATGCAATAGAAGTCACCATAGAGATGTACTGTGCGAGCCTAGGAGGCAACATCGTGAACATGAACAACCTCAGAATGGGGGGGGGGTGATGGACGGCAACGAGACTCACGCGGCAGATGGTGAGAATGGAGATGTTGCAGTATCAGATGAGGAGGAGGACGGCAGTTCAGAGTCGGAGGGGGAGAGAGAAGAGCAGCCAATGGATGCTGGTGCTGGTGTCCAACAGGCAGTCCCATCAGTACTCCGTGAAGTATTTGGGGAGGCATATAACGGACTTAATCATTCAGGAATCAACGGAAACATGCACTCGGGGGGCGTGGGATTATCAAATCCAACAGCAGCAGAGAGTGGGGGATTGAGGGAGATGGGAGGAGCATCCGAGAGTGGAGGAGCAGGCGACAGCAGGGCGGGGAGGGGAGGAGAAGAGAGCGGGGCAGGGAGGGGAGGAGCATCCGAGAACGAGGCAGGTAGGGGAGGAGCAGCAGGGAGCGTGGCGGGGAGGGGAGGAGCAGCAGGGAGCGAGGCAGAGAGGGGAGGAGCAGTCGAGAATGGGGTAGGGAGGGGAGGAGCAGCAGGGAGCGAGGCGGGAAGGGGAGGAGCAGTCGAGAGTGGGGTAGAGGGGGGAGGAGCAGCAGGGAGCGGGGCGGGTAGGAGAGGAGCGGCAGGGATCGAGGCAAGGATGGGAGGAGCATCAGCAGGGACAGGGAGGGGAGGAGCAGCAGGGAGCGGGGTGGGTATGGGAGGATCAGCAGGGATCGGGGCAGGGAGGGTAGGAGCAAGGAGCGGGGCGGGGAGGGGAGGAGCAGAGAGCGGGGCCGGGAGGGGAGGAGCAGCAGTGAGTGGGGCGGGGAGGGGAGGAGCAGAAAGCGGGGATGGGAGGGCAGCAGTGAGTGGGGCGGGGAGGGGAGGAGCAGCAAGGAGCGGGGCGGGTAGGAGAGGAGTAGCAGGGAGTGGGGAAGGGAGGGGAGGAGCAGTGAGAGGGGCGAGGAGGGCAGCGGCAGGGAGCGGGGCAGGGAGCGGGGCAGGGAGGGGAGAGACAGCCGAGATTGGGGTAGGGAGGGGAGCAGCAGGGAGCGGGGCGGGGAGGGGAGGTGCAGGATGGAGTGGTGGAGTGGCGGGTGAGATGGGAATTGACCACAACAATCCCACACCATGATAAATTTTGAAATATATGTTTCAAAATTTGAAGATTATGACAAGACTTGTAAAGGATGATGCAGTAAGGAGTCAACAGTTCAATATCTCGTGGCAGGTCCACGGACCTGCCACCTAGTCTAATTCATTCGTAGATCTGAATCTACAACAGCACACCCTACTAACTTTCCATTTCCTAGCCTAAACACTTCCACCATTGCCCCGGCTGCTTTCACATGCTCCTTATTTCGCGACACACGACGCGATTAATGCGGCTGCTGCTGCTGTTGCTGAAGTGACCATGGCGAAATTGTTGCCACTGCCTCAGAACATGACGAGATTGATGCCGCGGGTGACGGTTCCGCTTCGCTGGTGCATTGGAACATGACGAGGTCAATAGCTCGGCTTAACATGGCAAACATCGCTGCGGTGAAGGTTAATCTTGCCGAAATTTCTCGCTGCTGCACCTGCTGCCCACGACGAAGCTGCTGCGGCGTCTGCTGCGAGCGCCGCGGGCTGCTGTTGCACGAGCTCCTGGATGGCGCGGTTGTGTAATCCGCTACTGCTTCGGCGATTTCGCTGCCACTTCGGCGTTTTTGCTGCTTCCGTTAGCGCCATCTCCTGCTGCTGCTGTGAACGCCATCTGATGCTGCTACTATAAGCGCGACCTGCTGTTTTTACTGCTGCTGCTTTCATCGCGATCTGCTGCTGCTGCTATAATCGTGATCTGCTGCTGCTACAATTGCGATCTGCTGCTGCTGATACAATCGCGATCTGCTGCTGCTGATACAATCGCGATCTGCTGCTGCCATAATCGCGATCTGCCACTGCCAAAATCGCGATCTGCTGCTGCTGCTACGATCGCGATCTGCTGATGCTGATACAATCGCGATCTGCTGCTGCTGCTGCTGCTACAAAGGCGATTTGCCGCTGCTGCTTTCATCACGATCTGCTGTGGCTACTTCCGTGAGCGCGATCTGCTACTGCTGCGATGAGCGCGCTCTGCTGCTGCTGCGACGAGCGTGATCTACTACTGCTGTGAGCCCGATCTGCTGCTGTTGCCGCTCTTCGAGCGTTTTTTCTACTGCTGCTGTTAGTGCGCTCTGCCACTATCGCGGGATCGATGAGTGCTGCTAGCAGGCTCGCCCTGCTGTGCCTGGCGGAGTAGCAGCTACACTAGCATCCAGCGACAATTTCGTTGAAGTTGCTGACGCTACTGTGCATAACAAAAAAATGTGATTTGCTGGTGGCTATGGAATTACTATTCTGGTAACGCCCAGCAGGAAGATTTACAAGAGATTTGTGGTGCCCAGAAAGATTTTAACCCTTTGAAAGGGAAGGGACATGTTAAAAAAAAAAAAAAAAAAAAAGAGCACTATTGTGCACCAGGCGGTAGGGCCAGTGTATTTCTCTTTTGCGCCACGTCAATATACGTGATTAGCAGTTTCCAATAATTATAAGCCGTTCTGACTAAGAATTATCATGGATAATGGAATGAGTGTGTTCCAGAAATGAAATTAATTTCTGCCATTGCTTTCATTTCATGCAATACGAGAAACATTACAAAGCTTCTACCTCTTGTTGCAACGTTCAGGCGTTGCAAACATGGTTTGGTTGGACAAGACTGCTGACAAACTATTTCACGAGTCACTATATATATATTTGTATATATATAAAAACATAAAAAACCCTCTCTTATCGAATATTATTAATATTGAAGGGGTACCATTGGCGGCAAAAAAAAAAAAAAAAATCAATCAACCTTCTCTGGCATAAACATGCCACCAATATACAATCGTAATAATTTGGCATCCATGTACGTCGGAATCATTGGTTCCCAGTCTATGAAGAAGCCAATATTCTCACGAATGTACCAGTGCCACCTACAGTTCAACCACCACTTGATAATTTTATGCTGAAATCGTTGTTATTTAGCGCGGATTGTGCAGCAACGACTGTCGTTCACGACACCTACCCGGCAGGGTAGTTGCTATATTACAACACCGTTTTATCCAACGAAGAACTACCTCGGAGTTCAACTATACCTCTTCCATATACTTGTCAAATGATGCATTCCTGGAGCGCGTCACAAAGCCTTGCGTCTCAAACGACAAGATACAATGCGGCGGAAATGTTCGATTCGTGTATGTAATGTGGTGCAGACCGGTACATTGCTTCTATGGCGGCATCGAGACCCTTGTGTCGATACAAGAATGTACCCAAAGGCTCCTGCAAAGAGCGCGCGCCTTACTCGGCAGCACGGCGTATGCGGATAGTACAATAGTTTGAGTCCGTACCCCGTACTGTATCTGTTGACACTTTATCAGCAAGTCCAACGCGCCATCGTACTCTTTGTGACTCCTAATAAACAGTTTGCCATTTTCTCGCATGATGTCGCACATGGCGAGCATATGTGGACCACGATGAATTACTCGAACACATCTTGACGCACTCCCAACTTTGGGTTGGAACTCGACACACCCCGCTCGCATCTCTAAGTTTGTAATAGAAGACGCTATGTGCATACATACGGCACATACGACCAATGTTTCAGTCACATATCAACTATCCTGACAACTCTCCCATACTAAGGGTTTCAGTGAAAGCACAATATATTGGAGACTTGGTGCACGCGTCACTCCCTCCAAGTATGATTTCATTTTCTACTACATGACCATGAATCTGCTAAACCCAGGTGTTGCATAAGAATAAGCGTTCGGTGTTTACCGCGCCCGAATCAGCACATGCACGCTCTTCTCGGATAATGTAATGGAAAACATGGCAGTGACGGTTACGTCCCCAACCCTATTTTACACAGACAATCCCGTACAATCAAACTAACATGTTGATTTGTTTTTCTTAGAGCGCCGCTTCTCTCTTTATCATGTTGCTCAAGGTCTATTTGTATAACTCATACTGAGTTTGCGAAAGACGGTCGCCAATACGCAGTTTCCATTTGACTCACGAGGATGGCAAACTGCAACGGCATCCTCCCCATTCAACAACGGTCCCTATGAGAATTCCAACCCAAACACTACCTGGTATATGTTATTATTCATTAGCGTCAAAACGCACTGTCTATTCAAAAGCATGTGTGGAGGTGTTGGTGATTCGACACGAGGGAGCGGGCACCTTTCCATGGCGTCCAAGTGTGCGACATGGTGATATATGTGGGACCGAGAGCATACCCTGGTTGCTCTTAAACCTAGTGTGACTTTAGTAGTCTCCAAGGCTACAGTGACATATCACATGCCACTTTCTGAAGCTTCATCTGAAACGCTAGCATTGGACTGTGCCTGACTTAATCGATTTACCAAATGATGCACCCTCTTATTTCGGGAAAGTTATACGTCCAGCTAGCTCTACGCCCGTCAAATCCGCATTGTTATCTGGACTTGGCAACGGTCAACGCATGATTGCTCGTCTTCCAAGAAGAGTCGGTCTTACGCATCCTTGTAGTAGGCCCACACCACCTTCCAGCTGCATCGCACTGTCGCGCAACACCCGCCTCCAGTTCTTCTTACCATCTTGCGAGCTTACTCGCACGTGCGCTTCATTCGCATTTCGTCGTTCCATGTTTGATGGGAACTCCTTTCAACGCAAGTTACATGAGTGGAACATAGTTTCACTCTAATCTGCTCCCTAATGTCTCGTGTGTCCTATGACGACTACTCTGCAGACTCCTTGAAGAGTCTTGTCTTAATATGATAAAATTTGACATATATGTTTCAAAATTTGAAGATTATGACAAGACTTGTAAAGGATGATGCAGTAAGGAGTCAACAGTTCAATATCTCGTGGCAGGTCCACGGACCTGCCACCTAGTCTAATTCATTCGTAGATCTGAATCTAGTTACAACCCATCCCTCCCACCCTCACGCTACATCGCATTGGTATGGTTGAAGCGACAGATTATCCCTGTAGAGTTGAAATTTCCTTAGTCTACTTAGTTATACAAAACTTTTATGTAAATTGCGATTTAGTGTGCTGTATGATTGAGATCTGAAATGCTATGACGACTGCTCTGCAGACTCCTTGAAGAGTCTTGTCTTAATTGGTGACGCCTCGCAAAACAATGGTGACAACGTTGTTCGTTTTAGACTGAGGCGGATGCAACACGTTCGTCAGCAAAGACAAGTGGCACCCGAACCGAGAAATAGGGATCAAACGCCAGCGGCTGTGGTGGAGGAAGGGACAGGGGCGGACTCAGAGGCAACGGGCCATACAAACCAGACTCCAGTACCTGAGACACAGCAATCAATCGTTGTGGATAACCCAGCGGACCACAGCGGGGAAATGCGGGATGAACAGCAGCAGGTGAAGTTGGGGCAGAAGCGACGCCGCCTGTTGAGAAGGTTGCAGATGCAGCAACGACATCAGAGACGGAAACAGCTGCAGGGTGTGACTCAGCAGGGACAGCAGCAGCAGCCGCAGCAGCAGCAGCAGCCGCAGCAGCAGCAGCGGCAGCAGCCGCAGCAGCAGCAGCATCCGGCATCAGCCGCAGCAGCAGCAGGGACAGCAGGAGCGGCAGGGACAGCAGCAGCAGCAGCAGCAGCAGCAGCAGGGACAGCAGCAGCAGCAGCAGCAGCACGGACAGCAGGGGCGGCAGGGACGGCAGGAGCAGCAGCAGGGACAGCATACCCATCAGGGACAGCAGCAGCAGCAGCAGCAGCAGCAGCAGCAGCAGCAGCAGCCGCAGCAGCAGGGACAACAGGGGCGGCAGGGACAGCAGGAGCGGCAGGGACAGCAGCAGCAGCAGCAGCAGCAGCGGCAGGGACAGCAGCAGCAGCAGCAGCAGCAGCGGCAGGAGCAGCAGCAGCAACAGGGACAGCAGGAGTGGCAGGGACAGCAGCACGAGCAGCAGCAGCAGCAGCAGCAGATGCTGCTGCTCCTGCAGCAGTTGCTGCAGAATGCGCAGCAGGGAGGGCAGCAGCAACAGGGAGAGCTGCATGAGAGGGGCCAGCCACAACAACAACATGATATTGGGCTACATCTGGAGCAACTGCTGCAGGTATTGCGACAACAAATCCAAACTCAAAACCACCAACAGTGGCCTCAAGCTCAGCAGCAGCAGCAAGAGCGACACGAGCATCTGTAACAGAGTCAAAAACAACAGAAACGATTGCAGCAGCAATGACAGGAGCAGCAGAAGACAGTGCAACGAATGCATCTGCAATAGCAACAGCAACAGGCAGGGTTGTGGCTGCAATCCTCTTCGCTGCACCAACATTGGTGAACCTTGTGAAACTAGAATATGGCCTTGTATCATTGTTGACACATCACAACGTATGAAACACAGCCTTGTCAACCAGCTCCCACTCCCTGCAACCACTCCCGGCTCTCGCTCCATGCTTCTGGTACCTGACACAACTCCCTGCTCCCACTCACCGCTGTGATCCTGAACTCAATGAGCATCGTGAATTTTTTAAAATGGAAACGTTTTGGTCTTTTTTTTTCCATAAATATGTAGTGGTAGTTGTTCAGGGATGCATGCCATCACTATAATGTGCAACTCTAAAAAGCACCATGTTCTGAAAATGAAGCATTGTTGTTTCACAACAGAAATATGTCACACAACACCACCTAATAGCAAGCACACCACTCTATCCTTACCCACAATTACGCATTCGTTATTCAACAGAGGGATCACACCTTTGAATTTTTGTTTCTAAGTTGTTTGTAGTATCTTATGGTGCTAGTTTCCTCTTTTTCCTGCATGTTTGTACTTACCCATGTCCGGAGGTGCCGGTGTTGTCAGATATATATGACTTATTCTATGCAGGCTTTAGTGGGGTAGACACTAAAGGGTACAGGTTTCTAGGGTTTGTTATTTGTATCCCACATTTCCTTAGTGCAACACATTCCTTATTCTTCACAGGTGTTTCTGAAGCTGCTGGCGGATTCAGTTGCTAGACGTCACTTAAAAGATAGCCATTGATATCAGCTTTGCAGTTTAAAACCGTCTAATTTTTTATGGCTCCCGTTTATTAATATCAATAGCCCCATTTATGTGTTTATGTGACGTTGTCCTGGTTTGAGAAGAATCGCAATTGATTTGCGAAGGAATCAATCATCTGTGCGCAGAACGTGTCAAATCTGTTCATAATTAGCCATGCATACCACTCTCGGCTGTGTAGAGCCTTTTTTTAAATTTCTTTACAACCGCTTCTTTATACCAATCCAATCGGTCCTACTATGTTCCTAGGTGAGGTTGTCTGGTTTTGAGATGACTCGCAATTGATTTGCATAGGTAATCAAGCCTTAAAGTGCATAACGGCTCAAAACTGTTCAAGGATAGCCATTCATATCACCTCTGCAGTTTAGGGCCCTCTATTTTTTATACCTCCCGTTGATTAATACTAATAGCCCCTACTATTTGTCTAGGTGAGGCGGTACGGTTTGGACATGATTCGCAATTGAGTTGGATTGGTAGTCAAGTGTCAGTGCGCATAGGGGCTCAAATGTATTCAAGGAAAGCCATTCATATCACTCTCAGCTGACTAGTGCAATTTTTTTTTTTTTTTTTTAACTCTCGTTTCTTCATACCAATAGGCCCAACTATGTGTCTAGGTGACGCTGTCCAGTTTTGCGATAAATCGCAGTTGATTTGCTTAAATAATCAATCGTCTATGCGCATAACTGTCAAATCTCTTCAGCTGTACAGAGTCGTCGTTTTATTCGGTACTACCGTTTCGTAATACTAATCGATCCTACTATGTGTCTAGGTAAGGCTGTCCGTTTTTGAGATTAATCACATTTGATTTGCATAGGAAATCAAGTCTTAGAATGCATAATGGGTCAAAACTATTCTTAATACCAATAGCCCCTACTTTGAATCTAGAAGATGCTGCCCGGTTTTGAAATCGATCGCATCTGTTTTGCAATGGTATTAAAGCGTCTGCCAAAAAGAAAGTCGGGTCAAACCTGTATAAGGATAGCGATTCATAACACTCTCTGTAGCTTAGTGTCCTTGTTATACCAATAGCCCCTATTATGTATACAGTGTGTCAATTATATACTTATACCTGCATGCAGTTCTAGCTGTAGTGTAGATATTAACTTTATAGGTGGTGCACCTCTTTGTTTGCTATATGTACCCTAGTGCTATAGTGAACATCATTCCCATTCTCTCATTCCTCGACCTCCCTCCTTGGCACGAACTACCTCGATTCCCTTGGGCCTAGGCTACTAAGCCTAGGCCCACTTAAACCCAACTCTCCACTTATGCCACTATTCTGACATGGTATTAAAGTCTGTTAAGTTCTGGCCTGTGGGCCCACCTCTCGCTTCCGCTGCTGTTTTTCCGGTCGCGCGCCTCGGGCGCGTGGCGATTTTCGTTCTGTCCCGCGCCCGGGTGGCGCGTGACGTATTTTCTGCCCGCCGCGGACCCGCCCCTGGCGCCCGCGACGGTGCCCTGAGCCGCCGCGGACCCGCCCCTGGCGCCCGCGACGGTGCCCTGAGCCGCCGCGGACCCGCCCCTGGCGCCCGCGACGGTGGCCTGTGTCAGAATCCCAGCCACTAACCACTGGGATAAAAAGGCTTGTTTGTGTAGCGGGTGAGTGCGCCCATAACCCCCCAGGCCAACGTGCCTGTAACCCTTCCCTAGGATCAATCGGGGATCACCAGTGGACCTCTAACACCCCCCCGCACTGGGATGCCCGAAGTGCACACACCGGGATTCGAACCCGAGACCTTCGCTCTGATACCATGTCAGAATCCCAGCCACTAACCACTGGGATAAAAGGGCTTGTTTGTGTAGCGGGTGAGTGCGCCCATAACCCCCCAGACCAACGTGCCTGTAACCCTTCCCTAGGATCAATCGGGGATCACCAGTGGACCTCTAACACCCCCCCGCACTGGGATGCCCGAAGTGCACACACCGGGATTCGAACCCGAGACCTTCGCTCTGATACCATGTCAGAATCCCAGCCACTAACCACTGGGATAAAAGGGCTTGTTTGTGTAGCGGGTAAGTGCGCCCATAACCCCCCAGGCCAACATGCCTGTAACCCTTCCCTAGGATCAATCGGGGATCACCAGTGGACCTCTGACAGCCTGAGCCGCCGCGGTCCAGCCCCTGGCGCCCGCGACGGTGGCCTGAGCCGCCGCGAACCCGCCCCTGGTGCCCGTGATGGCGCCTCTACCCCACTCCGCGCCTGCACTCGCTGCAGCCGCCCCTGCCCTACCCACGCCGACCCTCTATCGCCGCTCTGTGGCTTTATCCCCTCCCCCCCCCCCTCCTCCTTCGTCTCCCTGCAGCTGTGGGGGAAAGGATATGGGGGTGGCGGGTGTGGGGATGATGGGTGGTGTGTTTCCCTTCCCCTCCTCCTTTCGTTCCTCCGTTCGTTCCCACTCCTGCAGCTGCCGCTGGGGGGGAGGGTGTGAGGGTGTGGGGGAGCCAGGGGAGTGGCACTGAGGTGGTAGGTGTGAGACCAACCAGCCGCCCCTCCTGAAGTGGAGGGGGGGGGAGGAGAGTAAAGGGGTGGCAGGAGTGCCTGCCCCTTTGCTGCTGTACCTGCTCTGTTGCCTTGCCTGTTGTTGTTGTTTTCTCAGTCTGTGGTGTACCTCTCCAGGTTGTGTTCTGCACTTAGCTATTCCTGCATGCAGTTACGGGGGGATGTCAGAATTATATTCTTATACATGCATGCAGTTCTAGCTGTAGTGTAGATATTAACTTTATAGGTGGTGCACCTCTTTGTTTGCTATATGTACCCTAGTGCTATAGCGAACTTCATTCCTCTCTCATTCCTCGACCCTCCCTCCTTGGCACGTACTACCTCGATTCTCTTGGGCTTAGGCTACTAAGCCTAGGCCCACTTAAACCCAACTCCCTACTTATGCCACTATTCTGACATAAAGGTGAGGCCGTACGGTTGTTTGTTCTCCAATTGCACTTGATTTGCATAAATAGTCAAGTGTCCGTGCGCAGTACGAGACAGATGTGTTCAAGGATAGCCATTAATACCACTCTCAGCTGAATAGTGTCCTCTGTGATTATTCTAAATCTCGTTGTTAATACCGGATGCCCCTACTCTGTATCTAGGTGATGCTGTCCGTTTTTTACATCAATCGCAAGTGATTAACATATGTAAACAAACGCCTATGGATACGACGCACGCATATGGTGATTCGATAAAGTTTGCAAAGTCATGAGCTATGCTTGTCTTATTGGCCATAAGAAATGCATGTTAAGTTGTGAACATGCTCAAAAGGAACGTGCTTATTGTCCATATTCAGTGTCTCTTTCGTCGTTTCGTAGAGCCCCGTGTTGTAGTAAGCATATCAAGTTGCTTGATAAAATCACGAGTTTAAATTCAGATACGTTACACGTATTACCGTATGCTTTATTACGGGTATGCATTAAGAAGATTGAGGACCCACTACTAATCTCAAGACCCTCATTTTCCTATTACGATATTCATATTCATCTACGAATCAACCATTTATCCAATCTGAGACTTGTATTTTTATCCAATCAGATATTGTGCAAATTCGCGTTTCTGTAATGTGTGTCTGGAACCACTGACGGAAACAGTCACACGGATACCTGACGGAGTGTACTCCGTTTCCGTCTGGCGAGCTGGCCTGTGTTCCGAAATCTAGGGCGCGACAAACTAGCGTAGCAGATTTCGGAACAGTGTGGCAGCCGAGCCACCTAGAGTGGGGATTCGATTTGGCAGAAGGGACAAAGTCAGTCGCTCACAGTTGGTAAGTTGCCCAGTACAGTAGTTGGCATGGAAAATTGTGACACGTGGGTGAATGAGGGGAAGAGTTCTGTGTTGTTTCTATAATTCCCCTGTCTGAGGCACATAGGGGCGGAAAGTGCCCGCTGCTGGCACTGTAGCTCCCTAGAAAGCGCGGGGTCCCTAGTAGTACCCCCGTGAAAGCTACTTACCCTTTTTCGAGAGTTGTAAACGCTTGGTGTGCACGGGGAAGTGTGCGACAGCCAACTT